CATTGTATGTCACATTTGTTTCACATTTGAGACGCACGCGTTTGACTGTGCTTCTGTTTTTTTGTTTTTTTTTCGGGGGGTGATGGTATCGGGGGTCCATAATTCGGCAGGTGTAGATGGTAAAAAATGCCAGGGCCAAAAATCGTTCCCGGTCCAAGCCTGGGTACTGTACATACACTAAAGATACTCTTTACCAAACAGTTTGGTAACCCTTAGCAAAAAGTAGTTTATTTAAGTATACTAAAAGTGCACTAATTTCATACTTAAAATCAGGCAGTGCACTTAGTTTACTTATTCTAAACTATACTTCATATACCAATAGTATAGTCAAATGTACTTGACTTACACTGAGAAGTGTTTACTAAAGTATACTTTAAGTGTACTTTAGTAAACTTAAAAATGTCCCAATTTAGTTTAAAGAAGTATTACTTTAGTAATACTTCAAGTTTACTACTTTTTGCTAAGGGAAAGTCTAGATGAAGTTCTCATAGCTTTGAAGGATGCCAATAGATTACTTTGAAGGATCAAAAATAAGTGAAGAAATCTTTGAATGTTTCTTCTGATCCCTTTGTTTGAGATCAAAAGACATCAGCCAAGATATCTGGTGGACGACCCACATATTGTTCTGATTTTTATATGCCTTAACGGTAGTAAGTACATTTTTCAATAATTTAGACTTATACAGATTTATTTGTCATTTTGTCTACACAAGTGTAAAAACCAAATTTCGTTTAGAACAGCTCTCTGGACAATTTAATTTTTTTTCACTGTAAGTGTGAGATTAAACACCACATTAAGCCTGTATACTATCAAGACAAGGCTTTGAGTTTAAGAGATCAGACTTGGACATTTGGATTGAAAGAAAGTAGCAACATAAACTCACATATTTTTAGGATAAAAACTGATTTTAAGTCTTTGTAAATATCTGGTATTAAATTTGGTTTAACAAAAGTCTGTAGCACTGTTGAATTTAGAAGTTGTTTTTTTTTTTTTTTTTTTTTTTGCCAAACCTTCAACAACATCAATTTGCACATGTTCTGTGTTTTCCCTAAATTATTTTTACATCTTCATCTCTATCTTTTGCACCCTCACCCACGCAGGCAAACCAACAAAAATCTTCTCTCGTTTTTTTTAAAATGAGCATCACATCACATTGTTGCAGCCCTGAAAACAGGTCTGGTTTCATAAACACAGAATAACAGGATGTTAATGAGGTATAAGTTTTAAAATAATGCGATTGTGAAAACATCTTTAGTGATATTAAATTATATTATTTTTTAAATAACCATTTTTTTCATCACATTTGAATAATTGTAGCACTGTTGGTGCTTTATCAAAAAATATAAGCCTAATAGAATAGAGTTGAATAGAAAGATCCTTTATTATCAGGAAATTCAGGTGTAGCAAAATTAAAAATGTAAATGAATGCAGATTTACACATCACAAAAGAAGTATATAAAAAAATTTACAAATCTATTGAAAGCCTGAATCAAGATTAAGAAATTGGAATAAAAAATAAATAAATAAATATAAATATATATATATATATATAAAAAAAAAAGAAATTGTAATTGACTCTACAGTTAAGGAAATGCCTTTATCTAAAAAAAGAAACACTTTGCAGTTAAGAAAACGGTATGCTTACATTAAATTTAATGCAGTGTGCAACATTGAAGTGACTGAAAACCCCTGACCTTTAGCACATGAGCTAATCTAGACTCTGCAAATAACAGCATGGATGCAAATGCTTATTAAGCTGATAACAACCTTGAAAATAATGTCATGAATATGAATACAATAATTAGGGAGGGAGAAAGTATCCCCTCATAGATGTATGCAAAAGAGCAAAAAATTGTCGAGGTGCTAAAAAAGTGATCTATGGTTTCTTTCTAGCCTACTAACTTACAAAAAAAAAACCTGTTGAGCCATGTTTTTAACAATTCCAAAACACCAGAAAGCTTATGGCTGCTACAAAACTAGAGCAAACAGTCTATATATGTCAGACTGCTTGTATTATCCGCCCAATGTTCATAGACCTGTTGTATATTTGTTGGTTTTTTTTTATCGTCAAAAAATCTAAAGAAGTTAGAATTCCCGATTCTGATGGCACTGCTTACATTAGATGCCTTGAAGATTCTTTGACTTATCAGAAAGATAATATGTTTTGAATTTGACCAAATGCCACATCAGGGGAGTCGTCTGAAAGAGTAACTGGAGAACCTTTATATTTTTTTTAATCAATTACCAATTTTGTATTTGTAAGTTGCCGTAGTAGTGGCTGGCAAACTGGATTTTTTTTTTATTTAGGTCTTGCGTGGTTTGCTTTATTTTTGTTTGCAATTCCCTTTGTGTGCAGTGACATTTTTAGGGCATAAACTCTGTTCTAAATACTTAACCCCACCAAGTCAGAGCAAGAAAATCCGTGACTATCTTGCTCCCCTTTTTTGTCTTGTATAGGTGATAATCCTGTGTTTTTGATGACAGATGGCCCTCGTTAGTGGCTCTGTGTCATTGGTTTAGTGGCCTGGTTTCTTTTAAAGGGATTATATAACTCTAACCCCTTCACCGGTTGCCTCTGCACTCACCTCTCCTGCCCCCATAATGCAGACTTTTACATAACATATGCAACACCCTCTGCATCTAATGTCATGATCCCTTAGTGGGTGCACAGTGAATATAAATGTATGCATATGCTAAGATGATATTCAATCTGAGTTACTATTCTTTTGCTGCACTTGTGAGGAAAGTGAAAAAGGGAAAACAACACTTCTCTATATTTGATGCATTTGAAATGTGATTTTTTTTTTTTTTTTTTTTTTGAGCACGTTCTCTGGAACTTGACTCGTAGTGAAAATTTCTCACCTTTTTGATTGCTCGTGTTTGACCTTAACTGACTGTTGACGTGTGATTTCAGTTTCTGCTCAGTTGGTGCTTTATTGTTGAGCTGTAAAAGATGAGTCTGGCATTTAGGAAAATTGGCAGATTTCTACTATTGTCTTTAAATATGCTTTAATAAAAAGGCAAGGTAAAGGCAGGAAGCTCATGCTCAAGTTCACAAAGCATCTGCTTGGTTTAGGAAATGTTCTCTAAAATGAGTTCAGCTATTTGAGTCATTACTGCGCAGATATTATAGAAATATGGAAACAACTAGTCTATAGATCTATTACAGTAGCAGCCATTCTAAATGGCACTTTCCAGTCAAACGCCAGCCGAATGGCAGCAAACTTCCCTGCAACTCCCAACAAACCCCCCTATCCCCCCCTCCTGGGCATGAATATTTTTTTATTCTGACTTCACCCCGGGTCTGACCAGGAGATGACGCTTCTCTTAAGATCTTAATATGTCCACAAATCATGACCAAAATAATATTTTAGTACAAAGATTGATGCTTAAAAAGGAATTTTACGGGACCAGCCAGGGATACATAAAGGAAAGTAGGGAAATTTTGAATATCAACTACTGTAGGTACTTAGGCTCATTGTTTATTTGAAAGTTAACAAAAAATACAAAAAATAAAAATACTGTTTGTTTTTTAAGGGTTTAAGATTTTAATTTTTATTTCACTTTTTACCAATTTGAGAAAGCAAAGTATTGCAGTGTACCTTTGAGTACCCTTTAGGCTAGAAGGAGATAGAATAGCTAATACAGTATAAAAAAAGATCACATATCTTGAGCTAAAAAGGTTCATCATATTTAATAATATGATTATATTAGATAAGAATAAAAAATGAACTGATATGGACCAAGCTAATTCAGCTACAATAAATTCAGATTGTTATTTTAAAAAAGATACGCCAAACTCAATAAATTGCATAAAATACATCCATTCATTTTCTGACATGCTTAATCCCTGCTGGGATCACGAGGGGTGCTGGTGCCTATCCCCAGCTGTCTACGGGCGAGAAGCGGGGTACACCCTGGACAGGTTGTCAGTCCATCACAAGGCAACACAGAGACAAACAGGACAAACAACCGTTCACGCCTAAGGAGAATTTAAAGAAGCCAGTTAACCTAACAGTCATGTTTTTGGACTGTGGGAGAAAGCCGGAGTACCTGGAGAGAACCCATGCATTCTAAGGGAGAACATGCAAACTCCATGCAGTGGTACAGCAGTGCTACCCACTGCTCCACTGAGCAGCCCAATATAAATGCATAAAATACAATAAGCCAAAAGGCTTCCATTAATATGCTCTCAACTATTTATTAATTAGCCAAACTACAATTAAAAGCTAATATTAAGTCCTTAAAAGTGAACTCAGTTTTCTAATGTACACTGAATCAAAGAAAGCTAAGATGAATTAGATAAAGAATAGCTAAATTAGCTAATATCAATTGAGATTAAAAAAAGATAATCTAGAGAAAATGTAAAGTATTTGTAGAGTGACTAATTTTGTTTGCAATATGGTCTTTACTAAAGTTAATATTTGCTTTGCTCAGTATTTTGTGGTAAAATTACTCACTAATCACCTGCATTCTTTTTATTTTAGATTTAAAATTAGTTCAGAAACGAGAAATGAGGAAACTAATGAAGAAAATTAAAGTGTGTGAATCTAAGGTTTAGGAGTTGAGACTTTCCTCAATAACAGCTTAGACTTCATCCCATTTCCATTTGTATCTGCTACTTATTAACATATTAACCTTTGACCCTATAAAACACTGTATGAATTACAATTTTAGGTAGAAAAAAATCAGCTTTATTTCAACAAACTAACAATGTGGTTAACTGTTTTGTGATTACCTCTTTTGTTTGAACTAAATTGGGCATGCTTCATATAAAAAAAGACCTTACCTGTCTAAGTTGCAAATCTTTGCTGCTTTCCTGGTTTCTGACCTAGCTGTAAAAGCATGGCAATGCGTACTGAGCAGACCTTTGCATGGCAACTTGTTACAGCTGATAGGTACGCTAATGTGATAATTATTCTGAAAAAATCTCTGTCTGTACTGCATGAATATTAACTCTGTATTTGTGTTACAATGCTTGAACTACTCACTGCATACAGAAGCTGGATCAGAACGTGCCTGCGAAACTGTTGGCAGACCAGAGAAGGGTAGGTACTCACACCAGCATGGCCGCTTAACTAACATCATTAATACTATCAAGATTTAGTTAGTTGTCTTATTAAACAAATGGATGTAAAAAAATAAATACATTTGTGTTTTTATTCTGACTTAAATAACATTGATGTAAACATGTAACTTTGCAGCAAGAATAGTTTCCTACTCTCTTCATTGCAAATAAAATGTCATGATTTTGTTATCAAGACCATTTACTTACCCCAAATGTCTCCGTGAATAAGAATTGCTTTGCTGCTATTTTTTAAGCAGATGGACAAATAGGGGCCTCTTTTCCTCCTGGTCTGTTTTATGACGCATTTGTTTAAACTTAAGCACCTATATCCTCTTGTCGGTTTATTATAAGAATTGAGTTGTTGTTAATTGGTTTCAATAATTTCAGTTTTTAGATTTCAAAATTGTTAAAAATATTTTTAAAAATCATCCCCCCTTTTAATTTGATATTAAAAACAAACACATTTTGAAGGATAATAGCAGTAATAATGATAAAACCAGCTAAACTAATACTATTGTTTTAATTTCAATATTCAGTCACCTTGGGTAGAAATCGTTATTGATTTGTTGTCCCTATTTTCATGTTACTAAAACCTGGCCTTTTAAACAAGGGTGTGCACACTTTTTTTAAATCAACTTTTATGTCCATGTTGTAAAGTAAAACTAAACGAAAAAAGTTTTAAAAGCACAGCAGAAAATATATATGCAGATTCACACTGCTGAATAGCCAATGAAAGATGAGTACTTTGAACCACCTACAAAAAGCAATCGTGACCCCCAGAGCATGACGCCGGCGGCAGGATTTATATAATTTCGCTGCCGTCTTTCAAGGACCACCCACAGCTCACGATAATTTGCACATAATTGCAAACAAACACACAATTCACAGGCTTCTTTCATTTCCTTCTCTTTATCCCATGGGAGGTCTTTCAGGTAACGATGGGCTAGTGTTGCCATGCCAACGGCAGAGTCGTGCCGCTGACTGTTTTACAGCAGATGAGTCACGGTGTAGGAGGGTTGCCCTCGAGTCTGCCTGAGCAAAAAAAAAAAAAAATCAACAAAAAAGCAGGACCTCCCATTGTCATTAAATAAAAACACTGTTTCTGTAACAGACAAGACTTGCGTCGGAGGCGCATGATATAAACTTGATGCTGAACATGCCAGGTTTTTGGAAAGATTAGTATATTTGCTATCATTTCTATTGAAAACTAATAATGTAGAGTCAGGTTATGACAAGGCTCTTTCCAGCTTAAATTGAAAGGAGCAGGTGTTGTTAATTCTGCTGTTTTATTAAAGAAACCCTTAACTAAATCTGGTAGCACTTGTTAGAAACACCAAGCATTACCTTAACCTGTGTTCCTTGGAGATCACAGGCTGCAAACCTGTTGCTGGAGTTTCTAAGATTGCTTCTTAATAGTTTTTTTTTGTGGACTGTTATATAATCTCCCATCTCTCGCTGTCACTGACGTCACATCATTACATCCTGCCCTCTCTTTTCCACTCATCAGGGCGAGGCGCTCAGACGGATTCTGGTGAGCCGTTACTATGGAAACTTCCACAGGAGCGGTGGGCGGAGGGACAGCCTGACGTCATTTGGCAATGGCCCCCTCAGTCCGGTAGGACCGGGCAGAAGCCAATCAGGTGACCCTTATGTGTATTTTCAGGCCTAAACACAAATGTTCGTCTTATTTTTTGTGTGCTTTTTTTCTCATTTTGCAGCAAAAAGGCAGTGAGAACAACTGCTTCAACATTTCTATTTGGCTTAAAGCTTATATCAAGCAATGACCAAAGCCTTTTGAAACACTTGGAGGGCATTTTCCTGCCAGAAATGATGTTAGATATTAGGTGGCAAAGCCTCTGTGAAGCTTTTGCTTTGCATTAAGTGAATGTGGCAGTATCTGTCTGGCCCTGAGGTGTTTATCAGCCCTGTGGTTGCTGTGTTCTGCCCTTTGAGCACCCAGACCACAAGAGTCTTATCAATACATGATAAAGAGGTCAATGTGTTACTATCTGGAGTCAAAATACTTAGGCAATGTACCATGACTATTTGGGCCATTGGCTCATCTCTAACATTTATATTGTATTTTCGTCATATCATTTTTTTTTTACTAATTTAGCATCATCAGATCAGAACAATGTGTGTCTAGCCTATAATTCATTCACATTCTTATTTTTTTTTACTTTTGTCAGCCATTTGTAATAAGTCTGAATACACAGTTTCCTTGATCGTATTCTCTTCCTTCCTATTTTCTTCCTCATGCTCACCCAACAGACCACAGAAAGCATGCCCTTTTCACTCATGATGAACTTCTTTTTGTTGCTAAGAGACGGGCTGGTGCTTCCTGTGGAAACAGTGTATGCACCTGTTGTAGAAACAAGAGCCAGGAAAGGAATTTGATATGCAGCCTGAAGTTGGGGATCCAGACGAGGCAGAAATGTGTGGGAAATCCTTGAGGCAATGACACATCAGTAGAATGCAGCTGTTTTGGGCTTGTTACATTTCATTAAAAAGTTCTTTGCTGTTACTAAATAAAGTAATGGATTTCATGTCTATTTAGAGCTAAAATAAAAAGATTTCTGGCCACAGTTTGTTTTCTGTCATTGTCTTAAAGGCCCAATGATAAACCTGTTGTAATTTTCTGATAAAATGGTAAATGGCCTGTACTTATATATTGCTTTTTCAAGTCAGAGGACTTGACCAAAGTGCTTTACAGTACAATCAGTCATTAATTCATACACTGATGGTGGCAAACTACATTGTAGCCACAGCTGCCCCGGGGCTCAATGACAGAAGTGAGGCTGCCATACACTGGCACCACCGGGCCCTCTGACCACCATCAGTAGGCAATGCAGGTGAAGTGTCTTGCCCAAGGAGGACACAACGAGACTCAAAGCCGGAGCTCGAACCGAAAACCCTCCGATATCAGGGCACAGTTCCCATTGTTGCCTCTAAAGTGCACCAAAGTATTATAATATTTTAAAGAGCTCCTCATGCATCACTAACAACTATCCCAGGAAACCTGTAGAAAAGAATAGAACCCTGCAGCCAATATCCTCCACCACACATTAAAGTGGGCCAAAGTGTTTTTTGACATATTCTTTTTGTTTCTTTTGCTCTAGTCCCATCTAGAGTAGTTGGTAGCAAAAAGATGCATCTTCATTCACATCTGACAAAAACACTTTTCTTTTAAAAGCCCCATTAGCTTTTTGCAACCTCCTTTGTTTACATTTGTGATTGTAGGACATCAAAGGTGTTTTGCTATATTTGCTAGATTTTGAAGAATTACTGAGATACATTAGCCCGTGTTCCACCAGATATAAGTGTACCCAACCTTAACAGTAATGAATAGATTTGTAGCGAAATTTTTGTATAGTCTGATTAATAAAAAAAAAAGAGTAGTATAAACATGCATAAATATAAAAAATAAACAAAAACATGGTTCAATCACATTTATATTAGAGAGGTTATATTTGGGAGCAATTAACTTTAGAAAAGGACATTTTGTTAAACTTAAAATGAATAAGTAAGCTATTTTGTTATATTTAGAGTGTAGGCATATACTTCAATAATAATAGAGATTTTAAAGCAGTTTTTTTTTTATCAAATAGGAATACATGGTGGAATAAACAATAAACAAATTACTAAAAACTATTAATGTTGGAAAAACTTTAAATAAGTCACAAATCGAGATTCTGCATCAAACTGATAACATCATTCTTATACTAAATGGTGAATCTTCAAAATAGAACTCAACTCAGTGTTTTACTGCATTTTGCACCATCTCTATTTATTTATTCTTGCACTTCTCTGAACCTTCCACATCAATGCTTTTTTGTACCATGTCTCTCCCACACTGTTTAGATTTTGATCACTGCTGCACTTTATGAACGGAAATGTGCTTTTTTTACTGCTAAGCGGCTCATTCACTGTCGGAAAGCTTTATGAAATAAATTTTGATTTGTATACGCACTGTATACAAAATGACAATAAAGATTGTCTACGTCTAATAAAATGCGCAGCCCCAGTTTGACTTGTAAACCTGCTCTGGTCTTGCAGCTTTAGGGGGCTCAGGCGGCCTCAGTCGGGCGGAGATGACCCTGGCTGAAGTTCAGTGTCATTTGGACAAAGAAGGAGCTTCTGATCTCGTTATTGATCTAATTATGAACACTACCAGTGACAGAGTCTTCCAAGAAAGCATCCACTTGGCCATTGCATTGCTGGAAGGAGGAAACACAACCATCCAGGTCAGTCGCACAAATCTGGACTCTGTCAGCTATTTTTTCCATGTGTATTAAAACATGCGTGAATCTTTAAGGTTAGTCAGTTGCAAATAGTTTTCACTTTGTTTTCTGTTTTGTTTATCTTTTCAAATTAAGAGAATGGAATACATGGGCATCAGTATGCCATTGTAGTCACACATACATATCCACCATCCATTTCTGTATCTAATTTTATAGTCTAAAAATCAGGGCTTCTGTTAATGATTTTTCTGATCTGTAAATAATAAGAATAATCAACCTCAGAAATTAACTTAGATATTTCCCCCCTCATTGATTTAACCAAGACCCTACAGACTTTCTCTCTGCAGGTCTTTGTTGTCTTTCTTTTTAAAATCGGTTTATCTCTCAGTCTGTCCGTATTTGTCGGTCAGTCTGTGTGCTGTTGTGTAAGCGGGGGCCTTGCATAATCAGATTACAGCAAGGAAGCCACTAAGGCAGAGATAATGCATCGGCTTCCCACGGCTGCTGCAGAGCAGCGTCACGTGATCTGTCTGTGTTACATAAGGCACTGTGAATGAACAATGAGGAATGTCTCAGCCTTCAAAACATTCCTGCCTCGCTCCCTTTACATTCTCCTGCCGCCCAAACTGGGTCACGCTGAGCCTCTGAAACTGGGCCAGTGGGGAGCGATGGCTGAGGAAACACAGAGGTGGGATTGAGGAAAAACTGGAGCCGTCCTAAGGCTCTTCGATCTGTATTTGTTCTTGTTGAGATGCCCAATTGCTGGAAAAAGTTCCTGCAGGGATAGTAAGATATTCCACTGGAAACATTTTCCCGTTATATAATTCTGGATATTTTCCTTAAAATGGCCAACAGTGTGAATAGAAGCTAAGCCAGTTATAGGTTATAGTTTCTCTTCACTGTCTTTATTCACTGTTACTTCTAGAACACCTGTTGGGTGTCGCATATCTCATTCTCATGTAACATCGTTAACTATTTACTCTTGCCCTACATAGTGCACCAAAATAGCCTGACTATGTATAACACTAGCATTAATGCTTCAAAAGTTTGCATACTTCATGCTGCAATGCAAAGCAAATGCATAAATACCCTAAAAGCATAATGTAAGCCAAGTACAAAAGAAGTGAGCAACATAGAAATTGGAATCATTGTATTTGAAAAATCTGCCCTTAAAAAATTTTATTAACTTTTAGAATCAAAGATTACCCTGTGAGAAAAAACTCATTATTATTGTTTTTTGTTTTTTATATTGAGTAAAAGTTTGTAAGCTCTTACCTTTTACAAGGTTAGAGCTGCAGAACAAAACAAAGAGAAAAGATAAGCAATTCAGGTAACAACAAAAAAACGCCACCTGAAAATGACTGTTCATTAAATTAATCTGGAGAAGATTAACAACAGGATTTGGAACAAAAAAAGGTGTTTAGGAAATTCCTCTCATAAACGTGGGATTAAACTGCATTCAAGCTTTGAGAGTTTGCAGAATCTGACTTAAACTTTGTCAGGAAAAGTGAAGAACCTTTATGTTAAACTTTGTTGCAGTAAAAACATTAAACAGACCTTCATTGAACATTGAGGCAGTCGCTGTGGAAGAATCTTGCAATCTTCTTTTATTATGCCATGAAAATTGAAGCCAAACGTTTTAGTCTCTTCAACAACCATAGACATCAATACTTTGATCTTTGTTAAAAAGTACTCCATAAAGTAGAGTCAGGAAAAGTATTTCAATTTTACAAAATGTAGAAAAAAGAAAATAATTTGAAAAGTGTAGTGTGCATTTATATAACGGTTAGGATATTCCCATGTTGATGGCAAGATGCATTAAGCTATATTCAAGGCAATGCTGAAAACCAGTGGTGGATGCAAAACCCTTTGGATTGGTTTGAGGTTGCCTTTCAGCTTGACTATTTGTAATAAACCTAGAGCTATAATAGATTTCTCAAAGGATATACATGTATATGTTAGAAAGACAAGGTCAGAGTTAAGACTTATCACTTATTTAGTGCTTATGTTAAAGAAGCTGTGCATCTTAAAGTTGAGGGATATTAATTCTAAGGGACAATTTGGGAGAGCATGTATAAAAATGACTTCCATGCTTTCATATTCGTTTAATATTACAGATTGCACAAAGCAAAATTATAACAATAGATATCCAACACAAAAAAATTACTTTTTTCACTTATCAAAATTGCAAGAGCTAAAGTACCAGAATTGAAAACAAATAAGGAAAAAATGGCTTCTGGAAACTGTGACAACAGTCTTTATACTCTAGGACTGATTTTCTTTAGGTTTCTTTGTATTAAAACAAACTTCTAGCACCCTTCACGACCCCAGCTGTGATAAGCGTGATGGAAAATGGATGGAAAACAAACTTCTTTGCAGAGTCAAATGGCATCTTTATGTAAAGTGCAAAGTGAGTGGGAGAACAAAGGAGAAAGACAATTTTCCATGTTTTGCGGTTGTTTTTTAAAATATTTTATATTTAAATTATATTTCTTTTTTTCTTTTGTTTACAGCTATTTCAGATACATATATAAATTACAATAATAATATTATTGTTGATATACATGGCTTAGAAATACATCTTTTCAAGGCCAATCTGCTCATTTGAATGTATTAGAACAAAACCTATTTGAATGTCTTATGTGGTTTTTGTAGATTACATGCAACATGCCTACTTACTGCACATGCAATTGTTTATTTTATTTTCCCTCAAAATTTAGCTTTCCTGATTTGGATTCTTTGGTGGTCAGGCTTTCAGCACGGTGAACTTACCCATGACATGACAATTCAATAATTTGGTGCTGGAATTTTATTTATTATGTATGTATGTTTATTATCCAAAAGTAACCAAGTCAAGCCTTTTTAGCACTTAATAAATAAGAATTTTGCAGCATATTTGATAAAAAAAAAAACGCTTTTAAGGATATTAAGATACTAATTGTATTCTAGGGTCCCTTCACTATATGTTGTGCTTGTCCTTCTTCTCCTGTCTTCTATTTTCCACCTCTGTCTCCTGTCGCTGCAAAGAGCTATGACAAATCACACGCAAGTGTAATTTTGTTGTGACATGGTGACTTGTGACATTTCACTCATTGGCCATCTGTCATCTAACTATGCGGCATGTTGCTCTCTTTTCCCGGCAGAGCTGCTTTGAAGAGGGGAAAAATGAAGCCTGGTCATGTTAAAATTAAAAATCCCGTCAGTCTGGAATAGCTTGTGGGAGGAAAACAATAGAAGAATTAAAGAAAGGAGGAAAAAGTCTTGAGGAGGGGTAAAGGAGAGCTAGCCAGAAGCTCCATTTGGTCTACATGTGGCACTAGCTGACGTGAGAGGAAAAGAGGAGCGCAAGTATAAATAGCTGTTACATAACATCCTTTTGTTGATGCCAAGTGGCGGAACGGAAGGAGAGAAGGGAAAGCGCTATGACCTTGTTTTTCAGCACTGTCCGCCCCCTCCTGGCCCTGCTCCTCTCCGTCTCATAGTTACAGACAGGCTCTGTGTTTACCCATCACTACCCCTGAGATGCACGCCACCCTTCTGCATCCACCTCATCTCCCTCCACTTTCGTCCTCACCTTTTTATGTGTTTTCGGCGCTACCAAAACATGCAGAGGGGTGTGTTGAAACGGTGGCACAGATTTTTTTTTTTTTTTTGGATGAGCTTCTCAGGGCCAACGTAGAAACTACAGAGGCAGTGAGGTGGTTAGATGTGAAAGTTTCACGTTTTCACTTCTGATTCATTGTCAAAAACATTTCTGAAGAAATCAAAAAATGAAAGTGAGGTGTGTGTTTTTTTTAATTTATTTTTTGTTTGTTTTTTCGTTTGTCTTTGCTGTGGCTTCGTCTTTGTTTCGGTGACGCACTGGGCTGACTAAAGTGCAGTTCTTGAAAACAGCCTGGGTTTTGAAAAAGCAAAGAATGTGAGACTGCTGTGCTGCAGGTGAATATGAAAATATTTCAACTATTTCATATGACGTGCCAATTTAAAATGAGGAAAAGAATCATGACACATAATATATGTGATAAAGATGATATAACCCTCCTAGCGACTTTCTGCACACTCAAACAAATTTAGACACCTGTAAACTGGCATTTCACCAGAGGAGCCTATCATAGTGTGAAAAGCAAGTTTGATTACGTAAGATACTGCTGAGTTTGGAGAGCTTGGAGAGAAAACTGCGCTTTAGGGCGTTTTTTGAAATTGTAGGTGTGTCCTTTTCAAAATTGGCATGTTCTAATTTCCAGAGAAAGCTGACCCATTTTTTTTTTTTTTTTGTGAGTGCAAAAGTCAGTGGGCGTTCTGGTGCATGCCGTCTCCTGCCAGTTTGTGCTTTAACTGTACAAGGTTTTTATGTGTCTGTGCCAGTTATGTAATGGTTAAGGATGATTTCTCCTCTGAGTTCCCTGTAGTCATATTGACTGTATGTTATGCTGGCCCGTGAGCTTTATAGACATAACTAACCCTCACCGCCCTCCCCTTCCTGCCTTTCCCTCCACAGGCATGCTTGGACTTGTAAACTCTGGCTGGACTGTCAGCGCTGCAGCTAATCCCATCTCGATGTTTCTACCTATCATCGGGTTGTTTATTACTCGATGGCCTTGTCTTGACTGGCGGTTTTGCTCTCTCTCCCCACAGTGCCTATTTCCTTGTCCCTGAAATTTGTCCGAATGCGTACGTGCAGCAGGCCTGCAGCCTAGTGCTGGAGGGCAGGGCTGTGAGACTCCTTTGAAGTGTGGGTTAGGATTAATAGCATTGTTTCTCTCAAGGTACTTTGGTCCAATAGGTTATTAGACCAGCTTGTTTGGTTGCCTCATAGTTCTGGTGCCCCAATTTAATTTCAATTAAATAAGAGGCAAAGTATTTCTAAAACATGCAGAAAGAAAACAGCTGTTAGGAGTTTTCAGTGTTGTTCAGCCTTACATTTAACCTGGAAAGGCAGATGGTTATGTAAGAAAATTTTAGACGTGGCCTAAATACTTCCTGATAACATCCCTATCTCTCGCTCTCTTTTCCCCCTCGCTCAGTCATCTCTTCTTCACATTTTTTGTCAGTTTTTCTTCCTTGTTTCTGTCAACTCCCCCACACACCATCTCTGCCCCTCGATGTGGTTAAGTAGGCCAGGCTTGTCCCTCCCTCCTGACCTATGTAATATTTTTCACCCTGTATGTGTGGCAAGGCTGCTTTAGCTGTTAAAAAGCCTTCCCGTATTCTGTGGCGGTAAACGCTCTTACATAATCAAAACAACAGCCTTGTGGACTGGGACACGGTGCATACATTGTCCCTGGCAAGCTTGAAACTGCCCTAATTCTCTGTGACCCCATTCTGCAGCCGTAGCCATGGCGCTAAACCCGCTCATATCTTGCACCTCCTTCTCTGCTGTTATATAATACTTTCTGAAGGTCCTGATAAAATCTGTTTTCTCATACAGATATATAATGGTTTTCGTAATTGTTTGATAACATGCTCTAACTCAAAAAGAAAGTTTAATATTTGTTAATAATTCCTTTCTTTGGTTTATCACTATCAGCAGGTCTATTAATACTTTTGCATTTTTAAGATTTCCAAGCACACTTTTTTTTTTTTAGTTTTTACGGCACTAGTGGCTAGTTTTTTAGACAGTAGGCTGAAAGGAAAGGGAGTATGAGAAAGGGGGAGAGACATGTGGCAAAGGACCACAGGTTGGATTCTAACCCTCTGCCGCGTCAATGACTAAGGCCTCCATACATGGGTCGTGCGCGCTAACAGCTGCGCCACCTGCACGCCCTGAAATATGGCTTCTAAGGCATAACACCATGAATATGCTCAAAGAGTAAATATCCTTGTCATGCTTTTTCCGGTTCAGATGTGTTGGGAGTTCTAGAACTAGATAATTATACTTATTTGTTGACACATTATTGCCAAAAGTATTCATTCATCTATATTCAAACACATTCATGATTTAGTGACATCTCTTTTTTTAATCTAGAGTCAAATCTGTCCTTTGTCTACACTTTGCAGCTAACGTACATATAGCTATTTACAGGAAGGCTTTCCATTAGCCTTAAAAGTGTTTTAAAGTTTTACAAAATGTTTCAACAAGTGCATTTAAGTGGTTAGACACTGATGTTGGATGGGAATGCATACCTTGCAATTATGTATCTTTATTGAAGTTAAGACCATGTGTTGGCCAGTCTAGATTGCACAGCTAATGATTGTGCAGAGAGAAAGTTGGTATTAAATGAAAATGGTTAAGCAAACTGCAGACATCAGTAAGCATTTTGTACTGATAAAACAATGCTTTTTTGATTCCTAAGGAAAAATGTACTCTCCCAAACAACACCCATGGTCGCGTCAGAGGTCTGGTTCTTTGAATCCAGTAGAGCTATCAGTCACAGAGCTGTTGTTAATTTTTTTTAATAAAAGAGGAACAAAAGAGACAATTTTCGGTGGGTAGAAATAAAATCTCCCTATTTATGTTTGACTTAAATAATCTTTTATTCCCTTTTCCTTTTAATCTCTGCGCAAAGAGCTTCTGTGCTCCTTCTTCTGCGACACAAGTGAGCCGCCACATGGTTATTGGAAAAGCTCCCAGGAA